GGGGGGGGGGGGGGATGAAGTCTGAAGTCTAAGCTAAACAAGGCCTTCATGAAGTGGTTCTGGAACTCCCACGAGGAGTCTGATTTTATTCTGAAAATGACCAGAAACAAAGGACATGCCATATTTTTTCATGTACTGTATAAGACATCCCGTATATAATAAGATGCCCCCCCACTTTTCTAAATTAAGAAATCTAAGTGGGCTTCACAAGTGTAGGGGGAAAGGGATCAAAGCCCTGCATGATCACTTTGATCCCTGCTTTCCCCTCCGCTTGTTTTTCCTCTCATCAGCTTACTCCCGTTTTTAGTCTAAATATTTTTAGTCTAAAGATTTTAGACAAAAGTATAGTCTTACACATGGAAAAATGCGGTATATAGAAGAGCTCTCATAAAACCTGCCTTAGGACTAGAAGGTGAACCTCTCAGTCACTCAACCCAAACCGAGGAGGGTTTTATTATTACACAAAACTGGGTTATAACCAGGAAGGAATAGCAACAATCAAACAGAACAGAACAAAGTATAGTTTTTGTTTCTGTAATAATAGCCCTCCTCGATTTGGGTTGAGTGACTGAGAAGTTCACCTTCTAGTCCTAAGGCAGGTTTTATGAGGGCTCTTCCCATCCCTGTGCTTTCTTGGAAGAATGTGAGTTACACCCAAATGGGCATCTCTGTCCGTTTTCCGTTGGGTGCCGGAAAAGGTTCCGTCCCGTTCCATGTTTGCTTGCGGTGGGCTCAACTGTCTGCTTGGACAGCTTTTCCTCCTTTCTTCTCCTTTGTTTGTTCCTCTATCCTTCCCAATCAGTTTCATTTTTCCCTCTCAATCTGCCCCCCCCCTTCTGCCTGCCAGGACTTTTCCAGGTTACATAAAACATTTCTGGGGCAGTCTGTGCAAACATAGTATCCTGTCCCATCAAAAACCAGGCACATGTGCAATTGCATGTCGGTGCATGCGCACACATTCATGTGCATGCACAGGGCAGGCACTCAAGGGTCTGAAGGCCATCCGAGGTTTTGATACTTCACATTTCAAACGTGACGCAAAGCTGCCGTTATCTCGGTTTTGCACAGCTTGTGCAATGGACACAATCAACACAAACCCGCTGAGCGGATCCTGCTGGAAACTACCTTACCCCCTTACAAAACAACAACAACAACAACAAAAAAGAGGACAAGCCATTCCTTTCCCCCGAGAAGCCGATGTACAAGAATGGAGGCCCCTTGCATGACGCAGCCAGCCCTTCCAGGAGAACCAGGATTTGCTCGCTGTTTTAAAAGATTTAATAGGTCTTTCAGACATTGTTACCTCCGGAGCCTCTGTGCTCGAGATGTGAATCTTGTTGTATCTCAGCAACTGAGCGAGCGAGAGGAGACCAGGGAGTGGGGGACCTCTCTTCTTCCCTTGCACCAAAATTTCTCTGCCTAAGATGCCCCCCTCCCTGGGAGATCTCTCAAGATCCCTGTGATGTTTTATGGTCTCCCCACCCTCACCCTGCCGCCCGTTAAAAGGAACACCAAGGTGTGGATGATTCCTCCAGAGACGTGTTCCATCAAAGCTGCTGTGTTGGCACAATCAACTTGCAAATGAACCCGGTTGTTTCCTTCCCAGCAACCAAGGCACCACATTTATTTATTTATTTATTTATTTATTTATTTATTTATTCATTCATTCATTCATTCATTCATTCATTCATTCATTCATTCATTATCCCGCCTATCTGGTCATTGCGACCACTCTAGGCGGCTTACAACACAAAATACATGAATACATATATTTAAAGAAGGAAATATTACACAATTAGACAATTCTACAAGATGGAGAGCATGCAAAATAAACCACAATAGAGAAAAGAGGGGGGGCATGGACTCTCGCTGCTTTTAAGCATAGATGGCTCAGGGACCGAGGAGGAGTTTTAGACACCAAAATTTCAGGGGTTTCCCACCACCACTCAAGTCATGAGCCATTGCTGGTTTTCAGTCACAGAAATCTGCAATTCAATCAGTCCCAAGACAGAGCCTAAAGATCTGATGAGCCACAGAGTCCAGTCAAACTTAACAGGAAGATCCGCCAGGTCCTCCTCTAGTTTTTCCGTTCCCTTGGGGTAGGGCTTATATGATTAGCATCCCGAAAAAAACCTACCAGGGCTTGTGTTCAGGTTAGGTCTTATTTTCAGGGAAATCGGATATTTCTGTGGTTTTCCATTTAATATTTCCAGACCGCGGCTAAGTGACGCCACAGGTCCTCCTGATCCTGCAGGTCCCACGGTAGTGCAGACACATCAACCGTGGGGAGCATAACCCATTTCTCGCATGATCAGAGCCATGACCATGAGAAGGGCAAAAATGGGCGACCAAAAATGAGTGAGCCATGCCATCTGGTCCTTTTAAGCTCGGGAGTCCCGGATTGCCCCGTATGTCGTTCCCAGGATCAGAGGGCAATCTGTCCCTGCATATCAGAGACTGGCGAAGTTGTTTTTGTAAGACTACAAATCCCAGAATCCCCACAGCTTTCCGAGGGTCCGTCTGAGTTCTCTCCCATTTTATAAACACTAATTGTCTTTTTTCCCCCTCCCACCCCTTTGGCTTCTGCAGGTCTCTCTTTCTACACCCGAGTGCTGGAGAACTGTGAGAACGAAGCATCCTTTGACGAGGTAAGGAAGGAAGTTCTGAACTGCAGCAGGAGGATGATGATGATGATGATATGGAAAGGGGTGGGAAGCGGGGGGGGGCTGGACTTTACATCCTCCTTTGCAGGACCAGAAAGAGGAGGTCAATGACAAACCTGGAAGTTGTGATGCACCACAGCAGAGTCGACGGCAAACGCACAGGGGCCGCGCCATCACCATTTTCTCCACTTAGGCTGAGTGGATTGGACTTCCCGCTTATATTATTTTTTGAAAACCTCATCTGTAGTTTGCCTCTAATTCTCAGTGTAGGTCAAGAACCACCCAGTTGAACCCAGGTTCTCCGTTGGACACGCGCCGGCTGTGTCCCTGTTATTCTTTACTCTCACTGTCATGTGCTGTCAAGTGGCTTCTTACTTACAGCCACCCTGTGAGGGTTTCCAGCAGTTGGCCGCAGCGCCAAAGGTTGGGAGTTTGAATCCTCCCTGTGCCTCCTGGGAGCAGAGCCAGCCTGGGTGGCCTTGGGCCAGCGGCCCAGTTCCAGGGCATTTCCGTAAAGAAGGGAGTGAATAGGAAACCACTTCTGAGGATTCTCTGCCGTGAAAGAGACGGCTGGTAGCTCAGTGGTTTGGGTTGCTGCCTGTGGAGCCGAAGGTTGAGAGTTCAATCCCCCTGCTGTGTGACCCTTGAGAGAGGGGAGCCAGCCTGGGTGGCCTTGGGCCAGCTGCACCGCAGTCTCAGGGCACCCCTGGAAGGAAAGAAGGGGAAACCACGTCTGAGTACCCCGAAAAGTTTTACCATGAGTCGGAAGGGACTTGATAGCATGTTGTTGTTGTTTGTTGTTTTTGTTATTGTTTCTTGTTAGGGCTTTCAAGGTCAGTGAGATAGGCCAGTGGTCCCCAACCTTGAGCCTCCAGATGTTCTTGGACTACAACTCCCAGAAGCCTTCACCACCACCTCTGCTGGTCAGGATTTCTGGGACTTGAAGTCTAAGAACATCTGGAGGCCCAAGGTTGGGGATCACTAAGATAGGCAACAAGAGGTTTTTATCACCACTCCCTGATGAATTTGGGGCCAGTTGTATCAAAGAAGTCTACTGGCATTTCTTTTTGCCTTTTTAAAAAGCAAGCAGTGACTCTGCTTCTGCCAGTGTGTGGCTTTGGCTGGAAGCAAGTGTGTGTGTGTGTGTGTGGGGGAAGTAGTGGAGGTCGGTGCTTGAAGAACCCCCCTGAAATGCTTTGTAAATTCACATTTCCTGCCAGGTCCACATAAACGACTGCCTTCATGTGAATTTATGGGATTTTTATTCTCTGGAATTTATCATTATTATTATTCTGTGAAGCCACCCAAGGCACTTTATAGCGGGATGCATATTTTAAATTATATTGAGTGGGATAATACGGAGCATCTCCCTTGGCGCTCATCTATTGATTCTCAAATGGCCTGCCTTACAAATCAAAGCTGCTGCTGCTATGGGATGCCTTCGTCTTTTGCTTTGTGGGATGATGGAAGATGAGACCCAAACCAGCCCCGATCTCCCTCCTCACGGCTCACCCGTATCTGGAGCCGAGGTAGTAAACGTGTGTGTCTTCCCGAGGGAAGGAGCACAGGATCCCTGGGACCTTTTGAGATGCCGCTCTGCGCTGTGCTAGGTTGGGGATGTTCGCCCGCCTGTTCCGAGTGAGAAAAATCTGTGTGTGCAGCTCTTGGAAATTTAAAAAAACAAAACAAAACTCACAGAGGTTTTTCCTTGGAGGGTGGGGAGAGTTATGAAACTATGCAAAGTCATGTTAAAACATCAAGTATTGGGAAGAATTTAAAACCAAACCATTTAAACACAAGATCGAAACATTAAAAAAGGTGGAGAACAGAGCCCTAAAACTTGCGCCTGCCGTGATCCTCAACTCACAATCAACATCATCATCATCATGTGTCATTTCATCAATTCTGACGTACGGCGACCCTTTCCAGGATTTTCTAGGTAGAGAATATTCAGAAGTAGCTTCCCGTTCCCCTGTCTTCTGGGGGCATCCCTGGGACCGCGGTGCAGCCGGCCCAAGGCTACCCTCTCTGTCTTCTGGGGGCATCCCTGGGGCCGCGGTGCAGACGGCCCAAGGCGACCCAGGCTGGCTCTTCTCGCGAGAAGCCCCATTGGGGAATCAAACTCCCAACCTCTGGCTCTGCAGCCGGAGACCTTGGAGGGGCGGATAGCTCAGTCATTTAGGCATCGGGCTGCGGAACCAGAAGGTTGGGCGTTCGGGACCTAGATAAATCAATACATCTTGACCCGGTGCTGAAATGATGGCAGTGTCGTCGCCAATCGGGTCTCCCAGGGGAGGGTGTTCTGCAGCTGGAGGGCTACCCTGAAAAAAGGCTCTTCCCTGTGTCTCCCCAAACCAGCTGTTCTCAAGGGCGAGATGCAGGAGCATCCTCCAGAGAAGGTCCTCCCTGGCGGATCTTAGGGGCTGATTTCTAAATGAAGAAAACAGCCACGGGTTCTGGGCGGTCTGTTTAGTGACCTCCATTTTTTTCCATCTTCATTTTTTCCTTTTTCATTTGTGACTCCCCTCTTGGGGATGTTAGGCACACCCTCCGTTTGCTTCAGGGAAGTTCCTTTTTTGCAAATTATTCTTTTCCAGACCCCCAGGCTCACTGCCTTTGTCATCTAGTTGGATTCTGGGTTGGGGGGAGTTCCTGTTCACGCGTCTCCCCCGATGTTTCCTGTGCCTGCAAAGCTGCAGCCCGCTTATTATCCGTGGCGCTCCGTTTCTCCCCTTAATTTTGCAACTGCAAAAAGCTTCCTCTTTCTCGATAGTTACATAAACCACCAGTTCTGCAAGCCTTACATAACGGCCTCCCTCACATCCCTGCTTGCCGAGCTGTTAAGGAAAAAAAAAAGATGTTCAGGTGTCAGGGGTCCCTTCCCCATCACAGCAAATTTTCCTTGATCCCCCCCCAAAAGGCTCTCTCTCCCACCTGCCATCTCCAGAAACCCCCTTTGCTCCACTCAAAAGATGTAAACGCTGGAGAAGTTGCATGCTTCTTGAAGCCTCTTAATGGCCCTTGAAAATCAGCATCCTTCTTTTCCTCCGCTGAGAGGCTGAGGAGACCCCCTGTCCCGAGACCCTAAGCAGAGGAGGTCTTTTCAATCCTCAGATCTGGGGTCTTGGAGAAAATCAAAATACAAACGCAGGTGGAGGTGAGACCTTTATCAGACTACCCAAAAGGTTCAAGCAAACAACAGACAGCGAGCTTTCAGTAATGATTCATCTTCCTCAGGCTGGGCACCGAGTTCTTGTGGGTAGTTGAGAAAATTTATTAGAGTCCCAAAGTTTGTTTCAGTTCTCTTGTTTCCATTGCCCCACCTTGAAATAATGTCTGTGATCATTTATTCATCAAGTCCTTAGGTGTTCTGCTTCAGCTTCTCTTCGTTGTCCCTCAACTTGCTCTAGAGCAGTTGAGTGTTTGAGCAGATTCCCTGCCCACCTGGCAGTGGGATCTTACCCTGAATGAGAGACGTCTTTTTTCCACGCTGGTGTTTTCCAGATTTACTGGGCTGGCGTTCACGCCAATGGGGGTAGAAAAACCCATGCTGTGTCGGTCTGGGGGTTTAGCAACATGGACCTTTAAGTCCGTCCACTCTTAAAGTCCATCTGAGTGAAAAGAAAATACATAAAAGAAAATCTCCTTTTCCCCTACTGTTGTTCAAGCAGGAACTAAATCATTAAAAAGAAAGAAAAAGAATTGATTATTTTTTTTTAAAAAAGGCTAAGAATGCCCTAAATAAAATTAATAACATTTGGGCTTGGTGCGAAAATAACAGAGTTTTGTAGTGTGTAAAAGGCAGATGGCTGTTTTTATGCGCTGTCAAGATGCCCCCAACTTACTATGAACTTACAAATAAGCGCTCTCCAAAATGTTCTGTCCTCCACTGCCCTGATCAGCTCTTTCAAAATCAAGCTTGTGGCTTCTGTTAGGGAGTTTGCCCATCTCGTATTGGGTCTTCCTCTTTTCCTGCTGCCTTCCACCTTTCCCAGCATTATTGTCTTTTCCAGAAAATCCTGCCTTCTCAGGATGTGCCCAAAGTAGGGACAGCCTCGGTTTCATCCTTTTTGCCTCCAAGGATAGTTCAGGTTTGATTTGATCCCACTTGCTCTAGAGCAGTTGAGTTTCTGGAAGTCCATAAAGCTCTCTTCCAGCACTGCATTTCAAACAAATCATTTTTTCTCCTATCAGCTTTCTCAATTGCCCGGCTTTTACAAATGATCAGAAATACAAGAGTGTGGATGATGTTAGGCTTGGTCTCCAGTGACCCACACTTACACTGGATGATTTTTTTCCCTAATTCCTTCACTGCTGCCCTTCCGGATCTCCGTCTTCTTCTGATTTCTTGGCTGCTATCTCCCTTTGGGTGGATGGTTGAACCAAGGTAGACAACATCTCTAACAATTTCAAAGTCTTCCTTGCCAACGCTAAAGTTGTGCAGTTTTTCAGTGGTCATGGGTTCTGTCATACACAATCCAAACCAACTCACTCCAAATGGAAACATTTACGCTTGATCGTGGTTAGGGTAGTCCCAGGTGATTTCCAGCATCCCTCGGCTGGGAGGGGTTCAGTTCAGCTCAGACAACCTCGAACATCTTGGCCAGTTGAGTTGGCACTCCAAGTTTTTGTGTTTTTGTATTTTATTTCTTTATCTTTTGAGGCTGGCTTTTTCATAGACTTGAGCCCATTTCTTCGGGTGCAGCTGATGGAGAGGATGCAATCCAGGGAGGTTTGTGCCCTATAAAAATGCCATTTTTTTTTTACCGTATCAAAACTACACTCTGCTGCTTTTGCTGTGGCTCACTTGACACCTTTTTTGTGCTTAATTTGAGTCCTCGGTGACTCAACCTCTGGACCAGCTCCAGCCCCTGCAGATTCCAGTTCAGCATTTGGTTCGTAGCGATCCTGCCTCCTCTCTGCATTTTGGATGAACGTGGAAAAGGAAGACAGATGCCTTTAGAAGCACGGAGCGGAACTTTTTG